CTATAGGTCTAATAATGAATTATTGTGATGTTAAATAGACAATGTTAGCTATCAAAGAGCGACGTTGTTTTTCATTTGGCCCTTGGTCTTCAAGGCTAGGCCTATACCATCCTAGCTAGTCTAGGCCTAGAGTAGGATAAGGCTAGCGCGACATGCGGACGTTGGTACGAGTTAGTTAGTCTACAAACGTCGCCTAAAGTAATTGATTTTACCCGGCAGAACGACAGAAGGAAACTCCGCTTTTCAGTCGTCTTCTTCGGCAGTCGTTTTTTGACAAACAATGACCTTTCAGAGGTCAAATTGCTGTCAAGAATATGAATTGGCTGCTTCGCAGCAATTATTACTGTATTATTATTATCAATTGTTACTCTTTTTAATTATTGTCTTCGTCATCATCATCATCATTGTCATCATTCGCCATTATCATTCATTATATTATCATCATCATCAACATCATTATCATCATAGTCGTCATTATCATTCATAATCAATATGATTATCATAATAATACTAAGGATGAATAAACAGTTGAATAATCGTCTTTTCCCTTCCTAACAGAAACATGCAAAGAAGCTGTAATTCTGCTGTTGTAGCCCTTTTACTGTTGTTTTGCAATAAACTTGATGCGCAAGGTTCCTGCTGTTATCGCTCAAATGGTAGGAACTAACAAACTAAACAATTATTCATGGTTGTATATTTACTTTGTATTTTCTGTTAAGTTAGAATACAAAATGAAGTTTCCTTGTGTTTCATGATATCTATTATTGGTACTGGGATTGTATTTGTATTAATGAAATGTAATCAATAAAAATGATATTAATAACACAACTTACTAGTATATATATATATATATATATATATATATATTTTCATTCAAGATTCTGTAGCAATTGATAGCATTAACATCAAGGCAACATTTCTCACAATTGATCTTTACAATACAAAATGGGATTTACAGGTCAACATATCTTGGACACCTGTCGAAGGTTAGTTATCATTTTATCTCAGCCTCAATTGTTTTTATTTTAAAGCAATTTCAGCCTCAATGTTCTTATAAAAAAAAGGTGTATTTGTAGGGATGAGCTGACATTGTGTGTATTTTAGGGAATGTGCCAAAATCTGCGGGCCCTTTTTGTAGTCCCTTGACTAACTTTTCGATAATTACTGAGGGGAAAATTGATATTTTTTTGGCACTAAAGGCCAACTCGGACAGCGTCGGCTGACGCAGCCCGACGCGATTTGTTGTCGCGTCGGGTCTGTGTGAGTTGAACGCAGACGCGATGGTGTGCGTCGGGGGCAGTCGCGTAGTAGAATATTAAACGTGTTTAATATTTCTCACGACGGCTTAAGACTGTCCCCGACGATAAATCGGGTCGGGCTGCGTCGGCCGACGCTGTCTGAGTTGGCCTTTACATTTGAAATCTAAACAAAATTAACAGCATTTTGATATAAATGTATTTGTTTAGGTTACAACAGATATATTGTTGAACTCGAGACGTATAGCGCCCCCTCCTCTAGCAATGCATTTTGTAATCCACTGACCTCGTGTACTTTTGACGGTGTATCGGTAAGTTGCAGCACATAATATAAATCTCAATAATTTACCTACGGTATTTATGTATACCTAGATTTTCATACAGAAATAGTTAAGTAAGCTTTTCGCTGTATATTTTATTTTATTTATTTTATTTTATAGGATTCATATAGCGCACATACCCAAAAAACTGCTCAAGACGTCCCCCACTCCTCCGTTCAATACATCAATCATACACAACGTGCAACCTCCTCCGCTCCCTGGACAGCAGGGGTGGCGCCAGGATTTGCCTGACGGGGGAGGGGGACGATTCCCCCGACGAGGTGTCAGATTTCCCCGACGAAAGCAAAGTGGGCGTGGTCGAGCTTTGATTAAAACGTTTCGAAAGTGGTCCAGCAGGTGAAGCCCCCGAAAATGTTGACAATTCAGAGGTTTCAAAGGCTTATTTAATCGATTTTACTAGTATGTAGGGGTGGGGGAAGCTCTCCTAGACGGGGTCCCCTGCTGGCGCCACCCCTGCTGGGCAGTATTTTTTTGTTATTAATTAGCACAACTAATTTCATTCCCATTTATTCATCTCCCTACTAGGTACCCATTTATACTCTCGAGTTCTTGTGAAATATTCTTGTCAAAATTGTTAAATAGGTAGCCCTCTCAATAATGAAAATAATTTTATATTGGTCTATTGATACCTAAGCCTATGCCTACTATTAATAAATTTGTAGTACTAAAATGTAAGATCGTGAAAAGTGAAATAGATTCCTTCCAATAGAGTAAAACAAAGTAAAAAAAGGTAAGATATCACTCTAATTCAGAGAAGAATTAATTTTCAATCGTTAAAGAATGAATTCACTCATTTATATTTAGAGTGTACAAAAGTAGGTTAAACCGTACCAAAGCATCGAGGTTAAGAGATAGATTGTGTTGATCCGGTGCTTTGCCCAGCAATGACACAAATAATCTCTATTTTGTATTATTGTATAGCATTTCACTTAGAATATCTATTGATAGCAATTTATCTACAAATCGTACCACAAGTGTAATATATTGTAATATGTGGCCTCACAATTAAATCACATATAAAATAAACACATATTTACGTATTCAAACTACAAAACTTTCAACTGAATTTCCAAACAAAACAAAATATTTTCTCTGCCAAGTATTAAATTAAAATTGTTGATAACTTATCATGAGGATATCGTATTTTTAATTGAATAACGATAGTACCCTTCATTTTTTATATTTATTTATTTACAGGAAAGGAATTGGAAAGTGTTTACTGGTATTCAGTTTGGATCAATACAACGAGTTAGGGTAAAATAATATCATTATATTGTATTCATAAAAGAAAAAAATCGCGATAGAATAATCAATTCATTAAATTTATTATATGAATCTCACCACTTGAACTATGTTCCTTTAAAGTACCAAAAATAGTCACTTACGTAGGCTCTTCGATTTATAAAATCATATGGCTTCAATAAGAAAGTACTGACAGTGTATTGTCAGACGAGATGCCAACGTCAAACATGATCTTCAATTATTATTAGATTTCACACAGAAAAGTTATTATTTTTTTCATATATATATATATATATATATTTATATATATATATATATATACATATATATATACATATATATATATATATATATATATATATATATATATAAGGTTTTTTTATTCACAGATTGTTATGATGAAACGAAGAGTATTGAATTTTGTAAATCTCAAGGTCAGTAATGTACAATTTCTGTGAATGGTCATGATACAACCCGTAAAATCTTATTAACTTGTGAAATGAAGATATAATGTGTCCTATTCTATTCCAATTCGTATTTATACAGGTCATTAGAAGTTGTAAACATATTTCACAATCAGTAACCCTCAAATTGAATAGGGTTTTCAACATTATACATGACTGTCTTATCATTGCCTCATTTCATTATTGTGGAAAAGTGTAGCTACGACGAGGCATTTATCCTACTTTAGACCTCGTCAGCAACCCTTCAATACGTTTGCGTTTGTATACATGGTGCCCACTGAATCGTCTGTCGCTTCTGCGTGTAGCAGGTTTTTGAGTTGCACCAATTTCTCAAGAGCAAGTTAGATCTGAACACGATTATATAATACTTTCCTAATGCTTGCTATATCATAGAATATATAAATATATATATTTTTTTTTTTTTTTTTTTTTTTTTTTTTTGCAGCCGTACAATATGCAGGCAAACCCATTGGTATTGAAGTACTAAATAAGACTCTTAATGATGATGACAATCGTGTTACGATTTATATCCAGTGGAGGCAACCAGCCCATATCAATCCAGACACGCCCATTAAGTTTTATCTATTTGAGTGGTATGGTAAAGAAACATCAGTAAATACAATGAAGATCAGGGTAATTATGAACACCAATTATCCTTACATAAATTGGGTTTTAATCAATACATAAAATAAAAGCTATCAATATGAAAATATGTATAAATAGTCCTAAAATGTTATACATCAAAAGACAATATAGCAGCAGGTAAAAACTTATAAGAAATTAGAAAGCCTAGATTGAGAAACTTTGAATTTGAAAGTGGATAAAGTTGTAAAAAATATTAAGGATTATGACTTTAAAACAAAAATCATCAAATAACTGAAGTGTCTTGTGTCCTGTGTCATTTAATTGTTTTTTGTATTGCAATTCTTCACTATTGCTTTGATCTGACGTATGTCGTTTGTTTTTAAATTGTTCCTATAGGACTTGGTATTTGAACCGGGTGCGTATGTCAGAACTGAGTTGGACGGCCTTTTATTTTTGAATACATCTTACACTTTAGGGGTAATTAAAATAGTTTTTATAGGCCCTATATATTGTTGGCAATAAAGATACTAAACTGCTACGTGTCGGTGGTCATGGTTACACAAATGACGTCTTAATTTTGAAGCGGTATTATTCATCTGTTGATTTGATCCGTTGGCTTATCTTTATTGATAAAATTATATCTATGAATAATTAAAAATTAAATGAAATTCTGCAAAGATTACTATCACAAAGGAATTTAACTAAATAATTATGCGTATGCAATAGGCATATCATGCGTTAGTATGCTTATCACTTCCTCACCATTCCGAATATGTAGCAATAGTTTAAAATTCATTAACATTAGAGAATACTTGACACTAATAGATTTACGGATAAGTAATATGCCAAAGATGTGTATAAGAGACAGATAGTACCCTTATATATATAGCTTATATGAAATAAACAGATGAAGTAAGTTATATTAGTGCAAGACACCATTAAGTTATTATTTCAAAATCAGTAGTCGTGATTTGTGCAACTTATAATGGGTCTATTAGTAATCAAGATGTGAGCCCTTTTTTCTCTCTCTCTGCTGTTGTTTAGAAATGTAATTTTAATTGTAATATTTATCGTTAATTAATTTATATTTTATGTGTGTGTGGTAAAAACAATAAAAACAAATAAACAACCCTAAACTAAATTATAAAAGTAACCCTATAAGTTTACGTATTCATTAACATAATAGACAAACAAATTATAGGAGGCATTAAGTAGGTGGAATAATCTTTGTAAGGTTGAATGTGAATTTTATAGAATAGTAATATATTTATGAAAGGAAATTATATAATTGTGTTTAATGTTTTCTGATTAGATTACGCCTGTTGTGATAGCCAATGAAAACAACAAGCGTGGTTTAACTCGTGAAATTACTTTTATTACCCCATTGCCTAAAGGTAGGTAAAGTGTATATTCATTCACATACACTCAATGTTATAAAAATACAGTTAAATAATATGGTAAACTATATATATATATATATATATATATATATATATATATATCATC